ATTTTCCCTGGTTATATTATCTTCAGGCCTGCAAGTTAAGCATTCACTTCAACTCACTAAAACGTGCGCAGAAAAAAACCCCGATGATACAGCAAAAAGCATTAGTCCTGTGGAGCACCGGAACAGTCTACTGCCAGAAGATTAGGTAAGCAATTAAAAGTCAATGGGCGTATCGTGCTAGTACTCACTCTCCTGTGGTAAGGAGGAGACAGGAATGACCGGAATAAAAAGTACTTGATTTACATGTTCTACTCTGAACACAGAACTCATATCCACCCCACTTATGAAAGCGGGTCGGCATGTGCAGCACAAAGCAAGTGTCGTGTACGTAACGTCACTAAAGCTATTCCGAGTGATGGGAGATTTACCCTTCCACTTCCTTTACACTCTTCCAGTCCGCCTGCCAACAGGTTAATCAGACCTAATGTGTGTGTGAGTGTGTGTGATAAAAAATGGCTATAAAATGGAAATTATTAATGAATGTGCGTATTAAACTTTTTGATAATATTTAAAAATAAAATATGACTATATTATTCGGACAAGGGGCGTGTATATTTATAAGGATTTATTTTAGTGGAAAATTTTGGATGACTTTTTCATGGCACTCGAGTTTCTAATTTTAAATTGAGAGTGGTATGTCAATGTGGAAGAATAATATTCTGATATGAGACACTTCGATCACATTTACCCACTATAAGGATTAAGCTTTCGGTAATTGAAAACATTCGAAGTCCACACAAGGTCGGTATGTCTGTAGTACAGTGATCCTGTCGATTGTACAAAAGCATCGTGTCTATTTGGCTGATCCGTACTTCAATTCACTTTATAATATGCTAAATTAAAGGCAATTAGACACCCCGAATTTAAAATATTCCGTTTCCAGAAGGAAGAATTAATCCTGCACAACGTCTAAAATTCCTAACTCTGATTCATGAAGTTAAAAATAAACTTGAAAATACAAAATGAAAGGAGATGTGGGTGGAAAAGCCAAGCGTTAAATATTGCCCATGGACAACAGGAAGTTAAACGAATAAGATGCCTTTTGGAAGGATAATAAGGACTATTGTTAACATGGAATGGTCGGTGGACCGAGTGGGCAGCTCGAAGTCTCCTCGCCACCTCGATGATTCCCGCGTTTCTTTACCGCTTTTAATGCGCGCGCGCGTGAGCGCACCGTGTGCTGTGTAACGAACAAGTGAGCATGCAGCTCAACCATTAAGGTGACCATGCCTTAAAAGTAAACGCCGGGCATTGTAAAGGAGCGCACAATTCATTGGAAGAATTAATGACTAATGCTCATTAAAAAGTCAAAGGGATGCACGATCCCTGTGGGAAATCAAGGGACAAAGCATAAAACCAAATCATGGGAACGCTTTATTGTTAAATGAGAGACATCGGCTTGAATAAAAGACAGCAATTTACAAGGAATTGTCTTTTTTAAAATGTGCTCAAAATTGTCAAATTGTTTTAAATAATCACCAATGATGTAAGATTAATCAGAAAGAAACGATTTCTAAAGTAAACTAGAAAGAGGTAAAATTTGGGAAAAATATTGATAATACTTCATGGTAAATCGTGGAATATACCCAAAAAACAATTAGATACTGAGATATGAATAAAGCTGACATACATTCCAAGATCCAAATGCACTTTATAGCAATTCGAAATCAAATGTAATGCTCACACAGGCTCATGTACATTATTACGTTTTGATTTAAACGAAGAATAGGCAATCTCCGTGATGTTGAAATCGGTCAATGATTTCTCAACAAACAGGAGCGTGAATCAATTCAACAGTCAAGGCATAAATGCTACACTTGACTATTGGTCAATATTCAAGAAGCAAAAGAGACGCAGAACTTGAATCCGAAGAGGAAATTTTGTTGGACACTTTCCTAATCCGATTTGATCCACTTTTCTCAATTCATGTCTAACTCTTCTGTAGTTTCCCTAGCGAATTATTTCTATTTTGTCCAGCAAGCCTATTTTCACGTTCATTTTAAGGTAAGACCAATAAGCCAGACAAAAAATCCTTTGACCACTTATCCATAAGTCAGTTTCTGGCTTTTCTAAAACGATTTCTAGCGGATTTTTAAACAGGCGTTTACCAGCAGGACGGTTTGAGAAACAAACTACCTTGAAAGGGCAATGTAAAAGCTCTCTTGAACTTTTGTGGGGTTATAATTGCAATAAGAAATCGCATCTATCGGATCACCAACGGATTGAATTCGTGAAAAAATTAAAACCCGGAAATACTAACAAAGAATTCTCAATTTTCGTGTAGGATGACTAATTCACCATCAAACGAAGAAAGTAGAGAAATTGGGGATGAGAAGAATGTCGACCACCCAGTAAGATTTTCTTTAGATTATAGCGTTGAAATAATGCTGGGAAATCACAAGGAGAATGAAACAAAAAAAGGAAAAATTCGAAACTTTCGAATAAATTTGTAGTAGAATAGTAATATCAGTTGTTGCAAACTAGAATTAATCTTGTGCGCAATCCGGTGATCTCTGTTATTTCATCAAGCTTTCACTGGTCTCAAAGAATTTTTGACTTAAACAAATCATGAACAATCACAGTGATCTTATACTGCAGTAAAAAATGCACAAATCTAATTAAAAAAATCAAATGAAGTGCAACTCTTTGAAGCCTTGACGTTGACCTCAGCATCGATTTGTTCCTCTCCCTTTCATAATCTGCCCGACTTGAGGTTAATCGATTTGTAGCTGTTGTGATTGTTTTAGTGTGAGTAACGATAAAGCTAAATGGATCGACCAAGAATTGAACTTCTGTTAGACGATTGACGTGTGATGCGGCCAACCACGCTTCCAATTTGTCCACCACTTTCACAAAAATGGCTTTAACCGAACAATCGTCTTTCACATGAGCTCTAAAATCTTAGTACTAAATGTTGGGTCATGATTTTCGCTAATTTCGTACACAATTGCCTCCAAATGACAGTTAACAGATGTAAAATAAGCGCTTTAATGGCCTATAATGTAATGAATAAAAGTAATGATAATTGCGGGTGCAATTTTAATAAACAGTTTCTTAAAAAACGACCTCTAATCCATTGTTAAACCCGTTTTTAGAAAAGAGCAGAGATGTAAATGAAATTTATTTTTTTACCATTAGAAGATGCACAAACTTATTCACATTTGCAAAAATGATTTCCTTGAGAAAAGAAAATTTCTAAGTCCGAAACCAGTGACACATTATAACAATTAAATTTGGTTGATAGAGCATCTTGTAATGTAGGCTACGTGATGCAACCTCTCAAACCAACTTTAGTTGTCAGGACACCTTCCACTGTAGAATCATCATTGAGATTATTCAATAAGAGCGCAGCTTTCTGCTTAACAGTTACCAAATCTGAACTCTTAAATACTTCCAGCCGAGAAGAATATATGAACAAGGAGTTCAAGAGAAATCACCAATAGTTGAACCGAAATAACCAAATCTCACTATTGAAACTTATGTATTTGTCTTATTCTCTTCAAACAAAAAAGGTTATTAAGCGAGGTATTTGGCGCAGATCAGTAGAGCAAGGCTTCCATTCATGAGGGTTTATATATTTAGAACAAGAATTTTACGTGGAGTTCTGGTATTCACAGGAGGTTAAACTTTTTGACTGAATTGTAAATGCGGCAGTAATTTCAAGTGAATTAGTTAATCATGCTGTGCTAGGGTTATAAAATTTAATTCGAGCAATAGCAAATAGACCAGAATAATTGGATTGGGTCTTCTACATGTGAGGCCTATTTCTGAGACGGACTCGAACGCGCTTGCCCAAATTTTAGCGTCACCTGCTTACTTGACAAACAACAAAAAGAAAGCAGAGAAAAGCTATTCATGCGTCAAATGGCAGTAATGCTCAATGGACTGAACCCACCCCTACCCCCTCCCTCGCCCTGCCCTTCCTCCTCTCCCTACCATGTTGACTCGGTAATATGGCCGTAGCCAGGGCCTACCACCAGACCAACGTGGTTATCGATGCATACGCCGCACCCCGCACCCCGCACACCCGCCCTCACCCCTCCACCCCCCTCCTATCCCGCGTCATAGTAATCATAACATGAGACATTTGAGGAAATAATGAGAGTATACTTCAAAGGCACCGCTTCCTGCTAATGTGGAATCGCAGGGTGATAGAGCGAAGGCACACCATCAGTTTATCATTAAGTGAGCTGATTAAGCTGATTTTACATCAATAAATAACTGAGTTTCCTTACATCTCCCTCGCTCTGTGTGGTCGAATTGTTTAATCTGCTAGCCGTTGATAGTGTACAAAAAACGCATCCAGGGAGGTTAGCCTTAAGGGCTTTAATACCGTCATTTGAGAACCTGGCTAGGTGTGACTAATCATAGCACATATGAACCGCAGTGACTTAGGCTGTTCTATGGATAATTTTTCAAATTTGGCATAGATTGAGAGACAACAATATGTCATTCTGCAATTTCAAAGTACCCAATCGAAATTTTTAAAAATATTATGTTAAAAGTGGCTTGGACAATCTCGTCTACCCGTTCTTGGGTGAAGGACTTAAAGCAACACAACTGCAAGTAGACATAAATATCATTGAATACCGACTAAAGAAACTCACTCAGAAACTCAGAGACCCAGTCATGCCAATTAATTTTGGAATAGGATAACAGACAAATCAGTATTTTTGACATCCTGACTTCATCACGCACTTTTATCCAACCCCATCTCTATTTTGCTATTTCGCACACTCAGTTTGTAACAGACGCAAGTAATTTTACCGCCTTTTTGTGGATTTAAATAGTGTCCAAAAAAGTATGCATTCACTTGTCCTACTAGTGCTTGTCGTAAATATATTTTACTGAATAAAAAAATCTTCTCTAAATAACTCTCCAAACAAACTGCTAAACTTTCCACATCTTCTCCTATGGCTGCAAAATTGCTGTTTGTTACCATTGTCTTTCAATGTCATGTGGAAAACAAAGATAAATATTAAGGGGGGGGGGTGAGAAACTCACGCTCTTTGTGCCATTAATTCGTCTTCCAGAGGAGGAGAAGGTAAACTTTCGTTTAGGTCTTCAGGAGATGACTGATAATGGTTGGCACTTCGATGGCGGAGTTTGACTGTCACACTTCGAGGTGAAGGGTTGCCTTGGAGCTTCCAGTGACCACCTTTGATCTCCTTTGCCCAAAGAAAGCGAAGATGACTTGAAAATACGAATCTAAAGTGGAAGTGGCCTGTTAAGATAACAGTCGGTTTAGGACCTGATAAATGTACTTAAGATTTCTAATTATCCCTTAATAGAGTGCTTCTGGAGTTTAATTTGATTATCCTAACCTAAGACGGACGATAGGTATTGATATGTTCATTTGTTAGGAATGTATGGCTGGAAAACCTACGAAGCCCTCCTTTATTACCTATCTCCTGGTCGATTTGAGAAATAATGAGCCCGCGATCAAAATGTAGTGGTCGTGCCAAAACTTTAATACTCAAACATGCTAAAGGGTGATGTAGCTAGTGGAAAAATAGTGCGATTTATGATGATGCAAAGTTGAGGTGGTAAGAGATACATCGCGACAAAATTAACCAGACTAAAGTTTTTGACTTTCCCAGATGGATTATCATCCATGAAATTGGAGAAGCCCTAGTTCTCTTGATACCTTAACAGAGCAAATGCGCTCACTGGCCCTTGAGACAATCAATGTCAACTATCCTGGAGATCAATGTCTCCAAGTCTTCACTGATGGGTCAAACATAGAAAACCAAGCAAACATTGGTGCAGATGTCTATTCTGAACTCTTCTCTTTCTACGCAACAGCGGAACACAATAGATCCGCTTTTGAAGGAGAAATAGGGGCCATTAGGATAGCACTATGCCAATTATGTTGCCTGGATACGAAATTCACCAAGGCGGTGATACTTTCGGACTCACAGTCAGCAATAAACTCAATTGGAAACAGAGAGCCACCCAAAACAGCTGAGATAAAGGAATGTAGAAAACTCTATTAGCTGCTGAGAGAGAAAAACAAAACAGTGGTCTTACAATGGATTCCTGCTCACTGTGGCATTAAAGGTAATGAGCTTGCTGACACACTTGCTAAGAAGGGGACAACGATTTTGCAATGCATGGACCGGCCGATGTCTTTCCACACAATGAAGGCCTTAATCAGGAGAGAATTTAAGACCTCAAGATGAAACGAACTTAAAGCTGGAACAAAGGAGAAACAGTGGACAGTGGCACTCTCCGACATACCCGACTGGCCAAGAATCGAAGCCGTTGCTGAGTTTAGACTACGTACCGGACACGATTGCTTGGCAAAACACCTTCACCGAATGGGCGTATACACTCAACCCACATGCCCTCTATGTAACCTACATGAAGAAATGGAGAAGACCCACCTGATTCGATGTCCAGCTCTAAAGACAACGACGGAAAGCCAGAGATACTGGGAAGCATGAAGACGGCTAATGAACTACTATATATGTACCCCCCCCCCCCACCCATGGGGGAAGCTGAAGTCAAAGTTTAAGGGCTAATGATAAATATCAAAAAGCCTGCCATTTGAAATAATAATTTTGATACCTTAACCAATTTCCTAGCGTTTGGGTTTTTTATCGTAATTTAAGTGCGTTCACATCAATTAAAACTAACAAAATACATGTGGCAGCACAATTAACAAAAAGAGTAATCTGATTTGGAATGGAAAAAACGGAGACCAAACTTGCGACACCTCGCATAGTTGTGCCAGTCTTGGCAATTTACTAAGACAATTAATTCTTCGTTGTGACTCTCTCCACCTTCCCCTTCACTTCCAAAGATACCCAGTTGACATAAATTTAAACAGACGTAAAATTAGCACCATACGAAGCAATATTATTAAATTCGAAAAAGCCAGTCCTTTTCACTAAAATATGTTAATTTCTCCTTTGAAATTATCCGAAGTGATAAACACCAGCTTGAATAAAGATATTGATAGATATTGAAATATACATGATAATAATAATAATAATGTTAATTACTTCAATGGGGATAATGGAGAAGTACCAGGAAATGTAGAATTGATGAAATATTACAATGATCTACAGCAATGCAAGAAAATTGTCAATTATTTATTTGTAAGAGCAAAGGCAAACAAGGAATCTGGAACGGGAATTAAAAAATGGTGCATCGCAAAAAGCTTGCTGCGTCTTCTTCGTCCCCTGAAGTAGTGATACAATTCTACGAGGTCGAGTCACACACCCTCAATTCACTTCTTTTGCACACGAGTCAAAATGTAACATGAACTTTCAAGTGACGAATTTCTTTACAGTTTATGCAAGTAATAGCAATAATATGCAAAAATTGAAAAAGAGATATTTGTGTTCTCGGGGAAATTAAGCTATTAAGGGCCTATTTTACCCAAAACTATTTTCATTGTAAAATTATTCATCTTCAAGTGAATTGAGTGGAACCAAAGATGAAACATTTCTCCTTGAGATGACCTTGATTTTCGCCTTTGCTGCTAATATATATTCTGAGACTCTAGTTTTGTTTTTAGCTGAAAAAACTGCATTAAATCAGTGCTTGAGAATTGATAATGATAGCATACACGTGGCACTTAGATGCCCTAAGTTGGCACGTTTTGCTTTAAGTGACAGGGATGATAACGATTCAGACAATAAATTGGATGATTTACTTCCTCTTTTGCCCTAAACTGATCTTGAATCAAGAAGAATCTAGCTAATCTTTTCCGTGAGATAAATTAGGAGGACGGAAAGCAGCAGTTTGCCATTAAATTGCGCAGTGAAAATGACATTAACTTCCGGGGACACTAAATATTCACCTGACCAGTTCATGATTTATAAAACGAAGAAATATAAAAAGTCCAACCCGAAGGGAGACAGAGCTTGATCGTAACACCGCCTTTGGGATTAAATGGGGGGAAATGCAGAAGGCGGCCGGGGTAGGGGGATTGAAATGTCCTTAATTTTAAATAGTCATTTTAAACGACAAATTGAATGCTCAAGTTGTGAATTAATAATGAATTTTTATATGCTGTTATAATTCTACCCAAATACAAGTTAGTTTGCATTTTTCTAATTGGATACGTGTCTTAAATATTTCTTTGTAAGTTATTTGCCTATTCCTCCCAATCGATTTTCAAATCGTCTTATTTTAGCGGAGTAATATTCCAGGTTGTTGGCTTCTCTTAGCATTAGACGAAAGTGCACTTGTCTGCAAAAACATGAAATTGCCTTCAGTCTTGAGAACTAATGTCTGCAACTCCCAACATGCCACATTTAAAATTAGTCCCGTATTGCCCAAACCATTAAGTCCTTATAGACGTCAATCGTAACTTGGGTTAAACTAAAAAAAGATGGTTTCGGGACCAAAATCCCTTAATTTAGGAAAACACCACCTTTTCGTAGTCCATGCTACATTGAAACCTTTTAACGCCCTGCTCAGATCGTAGCTTCTCTAAGATCCTCCATTTTTTAATTGTAATTGAGGTGGGATTGAGAATAATCCGAGAGGACAGCAGAACTTCTTCTCATTTGTATTTCATCTCCTTTTTGGGTGAAGTGACTCAATAACATTAACAAGATGGGAAGCGAGAGACAGAAGTGAGCATTTGATAACTAGGCCGATTATCGCTTTCTACTTTTAGTAGGAATGCGCACATATTTTCTATTCATCATGTTTAGAAATCGCAAAAGGTCAGTAAAAAGAGACATTATATCTACTATTCATATCTTAGATTTAAATTTGAAATTCTATCGGGATAAACACTTGATTCTGTATTGAAGGGAAACTTTAGCTCGCCTGAAGTAATTTCATCGATAATCATCTTTAATTACGAAAATTCAAAAAGGGAATGGTAAACTTTTGAAAATTAAAACTCCTCTACTTAGAAAATTTAATGGCCCTTTATGTTAATATATCCCGAGATATTAGACCATTTAGTTAACTATGCTATTTTAAATGGAAATATTTGCTTAACAGATTTTTTCTTATACAACTACTGGATGATAGCTAAAGAATGAAACATAACTTCTTAAAATCTTAAAATGAAATATTGTTCATGTTTGGGTAATAGATGGATTTGCTCTTGCATCATTTACTTGGTATTTATAAAAAATATGTATTTAAGGGAGTAGCGCTTCCACTTAAAAAATTAGTCGAGCTTAAATGCCGAGTTAAATGCGTTCAAAGAGTAGGTCTGAGCAACTAAGCATTAAGTGAAGCAGATCGCCAAAGGTTTGAAGTTCGGGATTTGCGCTTTCTTCTGGTTTTTGAACTGAGATGTTTGAAACACTTGATAACAAATCTGTAACATATGGCTCTGGCTATGTTAAACCCATCTATGCTGCTTAATATCTTGTATACTCATTCTTATTCTTTTCCAAAGTTTTGAGGTAAGAGGGGGCCATTATAACTAAATATCCGATGAATAAGCGCTGAAAGTAAAAAAATGAGAACTGGATGGGAAAGCCCGACGCCGAATCATTAGTCAATCAAACAAATATTACGTAGGACAATTAATATTTTTCGATGCATTTACTCCACCACTTATTGAGTCTAATTTCAATCGATTTCATCGCTTTTAAACAGTAAAAATTGAATTGCTGCCTTGTTGTGGCTATAATATAATACAAATAAATGAACGTTTTATCCCTAGGTAGTTCTTCATGTAGACCAGTTGCCACTTAGTGGTCTACAGAAGCAAGCTCAGAAGCGTGAAGATCAAAAGAATCTCTTTTAATCTGCATCAAGCTTTCACGATTTCATCCATAATTCTCCTCTGTAATTCAAGCTACACGAGAAAATAAGTAATGAGAACTGTTTCAAAGGGCGTTTAAACATAGTCAAGAGGTTAGACAGGAAGTAGAGGTAATGAAATTTTTTTGTGTTTGCAAAATTTTTACTTCCGCTCGTTTAATTTGCGAGTAAGATTGCCCAGAAAACTCTCGATTGAGAACCTTTTCTTCTTTATTGGGAGATTACCAGCCTGACAAATACAGTATGGGAGAAATATGAAGTCTCTGGAATACATGTAACGTGGAATATTGTTTGCATAAGGGAAATCTTAACGTCCAGAGTCCTAATGAAGAAAAAATATAGAGAAATACATGAAAGTATTGATACTGAGGGAGGAAAAACTTGAAAGGTTAGACGATAAAGTGACCCGAAGAAAGGGAAAAGTGGGAGGGGAGGGGGGGAGGGAATATGACCTTGAAGAAGGTAATTTTTCGTCGGGCGAAAGGAAATAGAGTGGAGATGAATGAGGTCAGTAAACTTGGTGACAGGAGACGTAAGCTTTCAAATGATTAAGTTTTCAGAGGAACGAACTTTTAGAAAAGAACTTATCAACAGTAAATTAAAAAATGAAATTGAAATGAGATGCACATCGGGTTTCATATTTCCAGAATCTTGAATAGGAAGGTGTACTGCGCGTTATTTTGTAATTTCATATGTAAATGATCTTAAATAAGTGAGTGTTTCTCAAACAGTCAGAGCAAATTACCGCTACAATTAGCAGCATATAATGAAAGGGCAGTGCAATATTAGCTTAAAACAATCAAATAAGTAAACAGATACAACTTGGATTTACCAAGATAATGATTTACGACAATTTGAAGCCATAAATGCACTTTCAAACTATAAAATGTCATACTCACTTTAGTTTCATTTTCGAAACATTTGTAGCAGAGGTCTTTAGAATTACCAAATCAAAATATTTTTCATCAGAAATTCTCGGAACTTCTAACTGAATCGATGGAAATCCATTTTCATTCGTAAGTAGCGTGGCAAATTCAGTATCAGGACGACGTCGGACATAAACAGGGGGTAGCTTCATGTGCTTGTATATGAGAGAATTGGTAACATCGTTCCTTTCCATGACTGGTTCTTGGGAATTAAGTGGATTAATATCAAGGGCGGTAACGTTGTAAGATATTAGGAGTTCGCTTTTGTCATTAATACTCACAGCCGCTTGTCTAATAAGAAAATCCAAATCAATTTTTGCTGCGCATTCTGTCTCCTTTGCGCATTGAATTAGGCAAGAAGACGTTGAAAATATGTATCCGTCGTATGACGGCATGGAGACAGCAAACTGACAAAGTAGGACAGCTTTACTTTTGGCAACCAAATGGGCGTTTTCTACTCCACAGAGTGCGTAGAGATCAGAAACGAAATTGCCTTGCATCGTGACAATATTGCTGCTCAGGTAAACAGAGATACTTGACATATTATAATCATGTTTGGATTCAACCCCACCAATATTTGCTTCAATGAAACCGGATTTTTTTGGCTGAATGAGAAATAGTGACCTAGATTCACTAGTGGATTGTATATATTTTTCAAATCCAAGATCATTCGGTAGAGTTGAAATATCATATTCAATTCCTAAAAATTAATATATGAAATATAATTACCTTTAACAAATACTACAGAACTATATAAAACCCCTAATACGACAATTAGCGTAGGACACCACGTCATTTTAAAGTGTGACAGAAATATTTCTAAAACAAGGTCAAATGAAGTAAATTACATTTATCTAACAAAACAAATCAATTAATCAAATAACATAAAAAGTTGCCTTAAATTTTATTAAAATTTCAATTATTTTCATTAGTCATTTTTATGATAACTGTTTGCATTTTTTTAATTTTAAAATGTATGAATTTGCTCATTGCTGTAGCAAACTTGGTTATTGCACCGAGATTTACGAAAGTTCAGACATTTTTCATGTTAGAAAGTTATGAGTGCAACCGGAATGGTTGGTTGTAGGTTGTGAACTATTTCTCAAATATAACATGACAAAATCGCCTTTAAGAAAAGTTAAGTGAACATTCCTATTTTTCGGTTTTTAGAACAATTTCACAGATTGGGATTATTTAATCGCTTTTTCGCACTCATTATTTCTTCGCATGAAATTTCGTTCTTATAATTTGGATCCTGATTTATTGATAATGCATACGTCCCGAATATCGTTTAATCAAGGTTAATGGTGAAGCATGAGCTGCTCTTTTGCAATATTTTTGTTAGCTTGGATAATATCAATGGATCAATCGAATGCTTGATTACTGCCTTCAGGTATTATGTATGATATGCTAATGACCTTCAAGAGTTAAAACCGCGTAGCCTCTATTGTGTGATATCATAATAATAGGTTTGTTGCGATAGAAATTTCAACACGAAAGCCAAACAAATATGGAACTCTTGCAGCTAACTTGCGACAAGCAAGACTAGTTAACACCAGTCCACTCAACCTTCGTCTGACTTGAACCAGATCAAAGAAATTCCGGAGCCCGACCAGTCACTTAAAAATGCCATTTTGCACTTAATTACCACAAACAAGCTAAGAGTAATAAACACTTGTCTTAAGGATAAACCCATACAATATCCAGCCCTACAAGCATTTACACTGTTATTCCTTATAGGCAACGCACAACATTACAAAGCAAGCTGTGAATTTTCAGGCGGCCTTCGTACCAATTAGTAAACTCACTAGAGATTTATCCATTTACGAAGATGCTCGGACAGGTTAGTAGTCGTTGAATTCACATCATAAAACAATAAAAGTGTACATAAAATACAAAACATGCAACTCAAGTTTAAGATTTATGCAGTTCACGGAAGTCGTCAATTTGTTTCAAAAGTCGTTTCACCTCCTTATCGACGGCAACAGACGAATTGAGATCTGGTCGCATGGAAGGATGTACATCCAAAGTAAAATCAGGCCCAAAAGAGGAGAAATTGTCATGCTCTGGAATGTCCTGGTCAATTTTCATTCTACAGATGATTGAAAAGTGGACTTTATTGCAATATGGTTGCAACATAGAAGCCACAGTGGCAAGAGAAACTGGTGAAAACTAAATTAAATGCACTACATAAAGTCCATTAATTTTTGGAGCAGCACAGTCGGATTTACCACTCAGCAAGTATGCCCCAATATTCTCAGTCGCTGACAAGGGAAATGTTATCACTGACCGCTATGCCAATGAAATTGATTAGCAACCAAGACTATAACAAATAGACTAACACGCACAAATCGGATTTGATCTAACTCCCAAATGCTTGATGATATTTTTCGTTTGTATCGAATATTTACGCTAACTAAAACGATAAATAAAGGCCCCTTGCTAAAATATTTTGGATATCAGAGAATTGTAAATATAGAGGAATTTAAATTTACATTTATAAAGAAAATTATAATTTCAGTTATTTTTGCGCTAACATAAATCAGAACTAGAAGATAGTAATGATTAACTAGTACAAAAATAAAATAGAATATCCGTTTATCCAAAGTAAATATTTCAGACATCTAATAAGTATTCTTTGACTGTCATTTTTTCCCTTAACAAATTATGACATACACATGAACACAAATCTTCGTTCATGAAAATAGGCATCCAGTGCAAACTTCAAGGCATTATAACTAAGAAGTATTCATTCTAAAACATTTCAAGTAAAGGAGACACAAATCGGCATTTGAGTACAAAAAACTCGTGCTCAATAGGACGAAAATATTGGAAGCTACTCTTCCCTTAACACCATAAAAATGCAATACATAAGCTGATCATGGAACCTTCAAACAAACTTGGCACAAACTATAGCATTAAGTATATTTGTAAAGCATACTCATAGAACTAATGGTGTAAAATATACTTATGACGGGGTTTTTTTCAACCCCCATTGACAGTTGGAAGATAGTACCACGGAACCCTCATAATTCATTAGGTTTAAACAGTGTGATTGGCCGTTTAGTTCACTGAATCTGCACTGGGAAGTGTCAAACTCGTGACCCAATTCATAATTAAATGTCTACCACTTTATCCAAAGTCAGTTATTCCTAACATAGGAAGAATAGCGGATAAGATGGAAAAGTAACAAACTCATAAAATAAACGTAACATTGTACCAATAGATAAGCTTACTCTTCATGAGTCACAGAAGACACAGCCAAAGAGGTGAGCATGAGCCAAAGTCGAGCAGTATCTGCCAGATGGTACCCACCACCACCCAAAATAAGCGTTGGCAGATGCCAACTCAGTACGAGACGAAGGGCGGCAACATACCCTGACTGCATCTGCTGATTAGCGTTGAGGGAAGCAGAGAGGTTGAAAGTACGATGGGGATCAGAGGAGAGGGCATCAGCTCCACACTGAATGACAACAGCAAGTGGGTGGAGAGAGGCATGCAGAGTAGTAAGAATTGGCTCGACTCCTGACCACCAGGTCTCGTCATTGGCTCCCTCAGCTTCAGAAATCAAAATGTACAGTTCCAGCATAAAATATACTTATCAATTATAGGGGGCGATTACTCAGATGATTATTGCCCAAATAGAAATCCAAAGGCATAAAAATAAACTTACCAAATAAAAAAAATACAAACATATGTTCAAGTTGATTCCGATCATTTATTACGGAAATTAAAACTGGATGAGTTTGATAATCATCATTTCCATCATCCTATTAGCAACGATCTCCGACTTAGATCAGCCCATTCCCATTTGCCTTTTTTCAACAAAAGACAGGACGAGTTTGCTTTCATCAAAGGTATACTTATAGACTCATTTTTATATTATAAGAATAAAATCCACCCAAACTTATAAGAACGCGATGTTACGCCTTCGGAGGAGTAAGTTGCAATATGGAAAATAGCATTGGACTAAACCTTTAGCAAAAAATTATTAAGGTTATTGGGAAAAAATGGTGAAACTAAAATTTGATTAGTCCAAAACTACTCCCACCTCACTGGAATCGCGTAAAAATTGCACGATTTTTAAATATAAACAGTAATTAACAAATGAGTGGAACTTGCCCAAAGCAAGATTGAAACAGGAGAAGCGACCCCCTCTTGCTCCAACAAAATATTCCCCCGTGCCACCTGGCACACCAGTACCAGGAAAGAAGCCAGGGGCTCCATGATGAACGGAGAAAGTAATCACTCGAGGAGAGTAGGCGAAAGCCTCTTCGACACCATCTCCATGGTGAAGATCCAGGTCGATGTAGAGGATGGGACCAGAAGAGAACTGAGGAGCAGACAGAAGGTGTTGAATACCTAGAACGATATCATTGAGGTAGCAAAACCCTGACGCCTCGGAGCGCTTTGCGTGATGCCAACCTCCAGCCCAATTAATTGCAATCTGAAATATAAGCGATAACAAATTTGATAAAGTGAAACCAAAAAGATAGAAGATTAAGACAGTTTACCTGACATTGTGAATTGATCAGACAGTCAACAGCCGCCAATGTTCCTCTAACTGCAGCAAGAGCAAAACTGAATACACCTTTAAAGCCATGGCAATCATAACTAAGGCCGTATTCGTCAAAAGCTTCGGAGATATCATCAGGGATTTTAGGTTCATCGTCCGACTCATAGTATTCATCCAAAAGTCGTAGAAAGTTAACGTAGTCTTCACTGATATTATAAGAAATTAAAAAAGACAAACAAGCATGCAATAAAGAAAAGGTTGCATAAGGTAAGAAACTATACCTATGAAAGAGAGTTAAATAATTCATTTCTTTGGACGAGCACATTTCCAACGGGGGTATCCGAGTGAGGTTTTTGGTTAAGTCATAGGCAAATATAAGACCCATTACCAAAGAAAAACGATTTTCATATTTAGGAGAAAGACTAGAGAGTTTTAGCAGTTCATTTGAGTGAACGATACCGACTATAGATGGCATTCTGGCAATTTAAGACGAAAAAAACATATCAAGCGCATCTAGAAACAGATCGAATCGCGCACTTGGCAAAGGCACTGTGAATTGCATCAATGAAAATAATATATAATTAAAGAGTAAATCGAATAATATTAGAAAAAAATGAAAACGTTCTAGATCTTTATCATGCTAAATAAAATAGTTTGAACCTCTAAATTATTAGGGATTATGTATTTTGTGTTAAATCAATTATTAATTAAGAAAATGCACACTTAATCTTTATATGTGTGGAATTATTTTAAAATTGAAAGTTGCCATCTGACAATGAAATAATAATATTTATGACCAGTCAAGGGCAAAGTTATCACCGAATGAAAGCTACTCAATCCTTGTTTTTTTATTCTTGATAGATTTTCGACCTCGTGATGCCTTCAACTGAGGATTCCGTTCGTGAGCGCCTTCAACTTCTTAATCCCACGCACTTGGTAATATTATTTTAATTCTTACTATTATTCTTAGAAAATAACCGATTTCTCTGACGGATGTGGTCTTAAGTTAAAGGTCGAAATTGTATCAGAGCAATTTGTGAGTAAAACTCTACTTCAGCAGCACAGGTATGACGTTATTTTAATGTATTTTTTCTTTATTGTTAGAATGGTAAACGACCTACTAAAAGAAGAAATGCTGAATATCCACGCTCTATCGCTGTCAACGTTTACTCCTGAAAAATGGTCCTCTAAGAATTAATATTCAATCGAGTTTATCTAAATAATGTATAATTTCTCTTATAAATCGATTACATTGTATTTGGTCAGAATTTTATCTTATATCTATTTTTTAATATAAGAAAATCATGTTTTGTAAATAGATACATTTTAACTTAGGGCCTTTGAGCTCATATCCACCTTTGTTTTCTTAGTTTTCTCTAATGTGTTAAGACTAAACACCAGGGCTTTTTGATGAAATAGATGATCATCCTTTATATTTTAGTGGAATTTACCTTTAATTGGTGAAAATATGTGTCTTAGGCTTATATAATTGAACGTACGTGAAAGCGCACTTTCTTTGGTCAGATTTCGTTAATTTTAATGTGCTTGCTAGATCATAACCCGCGTCAGTTTTCTGATTCCCTCCTAGGACTGGATCTTATCATCCGGGAAGTGGAATAGCTTTTTTACCAATGCAGTAGACATGCTCTATTATTTTTATCACGTATTGTTTTTCTTTTTCCCAGCTTGGTGGAAGATTCTGTGGTGTTATCAATCCTCTTTAGGAATGCATGACAAGTCTTTACTAACTTTTTTGGCCTGTTTTTATCAGATGAAATTATCTTATTATTTAATTTTAAAGTTATTGTGAGACAGCGTTGAACACACAGTTCGATTGATACTACTTCATTATTTACTTTCGTTTTCAATATGCCTTTGTATTATTTTACTTTGCATTGTACATTGGTAGATTCATTTAGCAAATTGACTAATTTCATCATAAAGAACCATTTCGATTAGTGATTTTAAGTTTTCTTCATCTTTGTAATCCCCTCAGGTGTAGAAATTTGTAGAGAATTTTTAACCTTTCCATATCCCACTGCAAAGTAAGCAAGAAATCTCGAACTTTCTTATTAACACACTGCAAAAATTGTGTGGTAGATATCAGTATTTCTTATGGAGGAGCTTTATTGTTCAGATTTCTTCTGCAAACTCTATGCGGTTTTCAGGAGGCCTATTTTGGGTCTTGATTGGTGACGTAGAAGGATTGATTCGTTGCTGGATAAAAAAATTAATACTTTGAATCCAACACCTGAAAGCGTTGTCGTTGAACTGTACCCGTATCTAATTTTTATTTTAACCATGCGCCCGGATGCTCTAAATTAATGGCTGACTTGTCAGCATTCGTGGCGATTTTTACATATTTAGTACCTTCCTTTTTGGGAAAACCCTAATGGACAAGACACCAATCAGTTATGGAAAGGCATCAGCTTGATCATTCTATTGTTTTGGTACTAAATTCCATCATATCAATTATTCAAAATATATTAGTCAATATTTCAAATTGAGTAATTGCTTTGCATTTAATTACTATTTATAATGAATGCTTAACTAAGGCATTTATAAATTAAGTGTTATTTTGTATTCTGATAAAGATGAAACGTAACTAAAATCACTTGTTTAAATGCAGAAGCACGCATGCATATCTAACGGAATAGGAATAGAGGTGTTTCGGTTGAGGAGAGCCAGTTATGATTAGGTATTTACAGTTTGGATAGCTTTGTTCTAAGAGAAATTGTCTCATTTAATCCGCTCATTTACAAATATTTCTTGTGACTACTTGGGGGCATTTGTCACAAATGACTCGAAAATCTTTCGTGATGCGACAATTGCAATTGGTAAATTTGGTCTCCTCAAATGTTACGTGACCTCTTCCGCAGCACATGTTTTGACAGTGGTTTGATTGGGCTCTTTCCGTTACATTTGTCGAGCAGAATCTGTAGCAATAAAAATATTTACCATTAAATAAATACTATATTAGTTGTCCTTCAGTAACATACCTTCCCTTCGTTCCAACCGAACCTAATTGAGCATCGGGTTCACAAAAGTCAGGCGAATGTTCAGTGAATGCTAGTTCACTGTAATGGATTACCCGTGGAGTGTAAGAGCCATACTCATACTCCTTTGCAATCAGGAGACTTCCATAATCAACTGAGACATAACGAGCCATCTAAAATATATACCGTTATGCATCTTACTTATTTTCCTTTCAGTATGGTATACTATAAATGTGCCTACCATATAGCGTTGTAGGATAATATCCTGAAGTTGGGATGAATCAATGCGAAGGAGTTGTCGAAAGCAAATTTTATGGGCGCAGCTGCCACTCACACCTTGACATTTGCATCTGATCTTCTGAGAATCCTCAATTATCTATAACCAAAAACCGCAAATGTTAATTCTACTTAAATAGAATTTAGTAGAATGTAGTTTACTACCTTCATTCCAGCTCTATAGTTGTGCAGGTTGACCAGTCTCTTGGTCTTTTTCTTTGAGTTCCTCTTTTTATTCATCTGCCTAACTGTTTGTCTCGGAACACGACTGTATCGTCCATATGGATGCAGTACGTAGCGCATTTGTCTTCTCTGTGGTCTGGTTTCTGCGGGGAATCCCAGGAAGGCATGCGTGTAAGTTTTCGCGGCCTCAAAGTTGTCTGAACATCCACCCCAATGATACTGCAGGGGAACATTCTGTGACTGTTTGAGGTCCACTGGACCAGGGTCATCGATGTCAGCTGGCTGTAGAGGTATGTCCCAATTATCTAGGCGACCACATTCACAATCCATGATTTTGTTCTCTGCGCACCGTCTGCCGATCTCGAACATTAGAGCCGCGCTGGCCAATGCGTGCATCGCTGCTTTCTCTCGAGTGGCTGTTTGAAATTTAAAAACAATGGTATTTGTAGTTAGTTGTATCTTAAGACTAAAAACTACCGAATATCTCGAATTGTCATTTAGCCGTCTCAATTATTGTAAGACTAAATTGTAAAAATACTGATTAATATGCTTTTGAATTCTGAATTTTGGAGAGTGACCCATCATTTAGTAAACGTTATGCAGCTCGTGTCCCATAGGAAGGTGTAGCAAGTCCTATTTCAGAGTTAAAATATTCGAGGTTTGTTGTATTTGCAATAACAAAAAATCTGCATATACTGCGAAATGCATATTATTGCATTATTTTTTCCCAATTAATAAAAACGAAAATTAGCCAATCCAGATGGAAAGTAGTTAACCTCCCACCCTCCCTATGATTTTTTATTTATTCCAAGCTGTGCGAAATCTTTTAAAAAATAATAAAACCAAAAAGGATACATAAAATGCTCCTTATAAATGTTAAACTGTGTTGCATAATTTAATTTAAATTGGTTCTTTTATCTTCTGTTAAACAAAAATTTCTGCTCAAAATCAGCACATTAATGATCATAACTATGTAATTAAGTTATAATTCTTATTGAGTGAACATTGCAAATTATTTTCATAAAGCCTATCTATTAAGGTTATACATTTTAAAGCGGTATCTGCTGTACTTTTTATTTTTGATAATAACCTAACCACGTTTATTTCTCAATTTAATATGCTTTAAATGGCAACTGGGTTTAGTCATTATCGCACTATCTCAGCGTTAGTATTCTAATATGTGTTATAACCACCATTCAGCCATCTCTCTTGGTATGCTTTTCTAGAGTCCTTGATAATACCGAGTTAGTTTTAATTGGCAGGATGATTCATTAATCTTTACTTGTTTATATAAAACTTAAAGTTATATAAAGCATTATGCGATTGTCCCCCTAACTTGGCCGTTAGAATAAAGAAATCTCCTTGGTTTATGGTATCAATGGACATTGGATAGCCACTGCTCGGTTAGAGATACCCTAAAATCTATCACGATTGGTCTATTTGGGTGTATGCTATCGTCTGCAATCAGAAGAATCTGAACTGCATCTTGAAATGCTCTTGAAAGTCAGCATATATTTGATAGTTAAGCACCAATCGCGGACACTTAATAATCTCATGGTATGAAGTGGTCTCAGCCGCAAATTAAACTTTAGTCGGAATTGGCTTTACGCCCACAATCCAAATTATATTCTTGTCAAGACCTTTATTTTAATGACTTAATTTTATTCAAGGTGAACTATTATCCAAAATAAAACACGGAGTCAGAAGTTGTTATACTGTTTTAACTAATTATAGAGATCAAGTATTCCCCAAATTAAGATGAAAGTAAACATTTACCTAGGGTATCCTTTGTTCTCGAGACTAGGATTTACTTCATAGCCTTACATATTTTAACTAAAGTATCTTTGTAATTTGCCTTACTTCTGGAAATATCAGGAGAAGTTTTCGGTAAGAGCTCCACAGACGAACAATTCCAACGTCTATCCTTGAATATCTCTGGACAGTAGTAGGTGACTGCCTGAGCTGACTTGAGGACAGCGTGCATTGCAAAGCTGCCTTCAGGATGATGACAAAATTCCAACTGCTTTTTACCCAGTCCATAACGATATTTTGCATAGAAGCATTCGTTCGGAGTGAAGCGTTCTTTTTCAAGCACTTTCGAACGTGGATAGCGATGAAGACCTCTAAAAAGGGAAACAAATAAAATGTTTTCAGCTTTAATTCTCTTTACTATTTAAAAGTCATAGTGATACCCCCACACAGGAGTGCTAAGTGACCTTTGAATGATTTGAAACTTTATTTCTTGTTGCCAGAATCACCTAGTCATGAATCGTGAATCAATCTGCCAAAGGCCTCATAAATAGGTAATTTGGATGTCTGCTTACATCTCCATTTTATGATTCTGTCTGGGTCAAATCAAGGAAAACACTTACTAGATGCCATAAGCAACACATTTTTTCTCCAAGTAATCAAATCGGTGCTTTTACCTACATCTGTGAATTTTATATTATTCCCAAAGGCCTTTTATGAGCTGGTGTTTCCTCCATCGTAAACGCAAGGAAGCATATAAATGTTATTGGATCACAGTAGTTATAAGTCTGCAACGGATTTGTGCTCAGTGTTCCTGACGTTGGGCTTTTCAATGTCTATGACTGATCCCTTCTACATCAAATTTGGGAGGCTCTCACATCGCTGGACTCAAATTTATTAATAAGGGTGGCTACTGAAACTTATGCCATTTACTACGTGTTTGAAGAGTGAAGATTAAAACTTCATGTTGCAGGAAATCGTGGGGATATGGAATTATAAATAACAGCAAAATGAAAGTAAAAATGTAATTTATTGTCATTGCTTCAAAAATTTTCACTTTATATGTGGTATTTAATGTGATATTTAATTTTGCCCAAGAAATTTTGGGCATCATTTGTGGCGATACTAAGATTAAATGATTTAGTTTTGTATTCAATAAAGTGAAATTAGGTTATCTGCTGTTTTAACTAATGATTGACAAAGAGTAAGAAGGTTTGATCAAAGGTTAAAAATTCTTGTCTTTTTTGCATCATCTTTCCACGATGGATTTCGTTTCTATACATTTTACCTGATTTCACAGAGGAAAGCCGCTGTTAACTAGGCAAATCCGCTATTCTAATGAAGTCATTTTAATTCTGATCTTACTTTTAACCGTTATTCTTATTAGAATAGTGAGTTTAAATTATTTTTCTATTTCTTTCAACGTCTAAGTATTTTCATTTCGATTCCAAGACAATTATCGATTTTTCAATATTATTAGTGTATTTACAATTGTACAGAATTTCTACTGAATAAACCAAGCAGACATCCATTCAGTTCCCATTTAATTAACAATCTTTCGCTCAAAACATAGACCTGAGATTACGGAGAGTGTGGTTCTTGCCTTGTCGTCATAGGATGATACTTAGGATGCAAAATGGCCTCTTCATTTTGTTAATTTTAAATAGGGATTTTTCTATTCCTTGCCATAAAAAGTATGACCAAGTCATGACGGATGAGTTTTTAGTACGTCAAATATGCAAACCTGAGAACTATGAAATTTACTGTAAATGAGTCCAATCAATATCTTTATTTGAACAAAAGTTCTATTAAAATTGTGAATTGGGGACGAAAGGTGGATTAAAAGTTTTTTTTAAATGGCAGGCGTTTTGATGGTTAGTTAACTTCAGTTGACTTTGGTTGACTTCAGGCTTCACAAAGGGAATGAACATCAAAGGTAGAAAAAAGGTGAGGTGAGTACTGTGAAAGTAGTCGAATACGACATACAGTGGGGTGATGGTAGTTTGAAGTCAGAAATCAACTGCCGGTTTATAGACTTTTTTTACCGTATGAGTATACGTTGCCCAGGGTGCACCACGTGGAGGTAAGTCTATCGCACACCCCGGTGGATCAAAAGTAATAGTTCTGAGAGCAAAAGTGCAGATGTAGGAAGTACTTTCATGAACTTAAAAATCATTTCTTGAGATTTATAATGCTCTATTATAAATTCGTTTTCAAGGTAAATAGATAAAAAAATGCCGTCTTTTTCTAAAGTGAAAGGTTGCTTCCATTCGCATTAAACTTTCCCGATTTCAATTTCGTCTTATTTCAGAAGAGGGTGCACACTAGAATTTACCAAGTTTAAAATATAATTAGGCTACTGATATTTTTTATTAATAATTTGATAATTTTAATGTCAATTTCATGTTATTTGGCTTTGTAAATGTACAAATTGAGTTTCAGATAATGCTTCAAGATCTTCAATAAGTCATGAGTTTTAGGGGTTGATAAAATACCACCTGCTGCGTTTTTATGGAATAAGGAAACGTCTTGGATATGATTTTTAGGTCGGGTTTAAAAAGCATTAAGTTAATATGTAATTGATATTTCCCATAATGTAGCTTCATTTAAGATTATTAAAAAAATTTTTGGTTTAGATCGCAATATAAAGTTTAAGGAAATTCTGCGCTGGTATAGAAAGGTTAGGATGATAGTGATAAGATACTTACAGCCAGGAGATGGACTGAGTAAATTCCACTTGAAGTAGACAGAGGAATAAAGCGATCCAAACAATCCAAATAGAGCATTTCCTTGGCGGTACTTGCATGTTGGTAGAGGCTGATTTTTTGATGCCCACTCGTTTTTTTCGCTCTGCGTTTGCATGCGGCTTGAGACGGGCACTAGTTGACTGGTCGGCACCTAGCCAATCACAGCACAAAGGCATCCCCCCCCCCATTTCTTCTCTCCCTTAGTCCACTCGCACGCATACAATCCCTCCTCCCCTCCCCCTCCTTCCAGAGAGGTACGCATGTGCAAAGATACTACCTAGTTGTGGAGGGGGGGGGGGGGGGTGCGAGTGTTGTGATCGTAAAAATGACGCCTTTGGGGTCAGGACAAGGTGGCAAGGCGGCATTAAACTGATCAGTTAATTAACACGACTGAAAGTGCTGGATCTACCCTGCGTGAATGAACATGCCTAACTGGTTTTCAGAAGTGGTAAACTTTGAAATACATATCGATGTTAACAAATATGTGGTGGCCTACCGATTGAGTAAACTAACTAAATCACACACGTTATTCTGCTGTCACCGTATGAAGATAAGTTCCTTAGTTATGTGACATAGAAATTCTCTAAGAAGACCAGAAATAGGCGATTGAATATGCTTTACTCTACACTTAGTCTTTTTATTAAGTCGAAATCAAGCATTTCGCCATACTTTAAGAAGTTAAACATTGTCACTATTGCCAATAATGATAGTATTACCAAATAACTCTCATATTAATCTTTCAATTTAATTCATGGGACTGCTTCTGAACAATAGAAATGACAAAATGGTCCAACGATGGATGGAGGTGGGGAAGGGGGGGGGGTCGAGAATCTAATCATTTGCTCCCTAAAAAGGCGCATATCTTTCTTCACAATAATTAAATTGTCATGATTCCATTTAGAACTTCTGGGTGAGACTAACACTTTCTTGAACGATAAATCAAATCTATATTTGACCGTTCCACTTCCGTTAATTGTTTATCTTACAACCGTGAGAGGAAAAATGGGAATAACATAGCAACTTAAATAATGTTTACAACACTTAGTAATATTATTTGAAATGAAACAATAATTTAATTAGTCTAATTCTCCCCATTGATTTCTTCATGCGACGAAAATCGAAGTTTATTTATTTATTTATATCAAATGGCAGGCGTTTTGATAGTTATCATTAGCCCTGGAGCTGACTTCGGGGCTTCACAGAGAGGAGAAGGAACATCAAAGTGACAAAAAGTCGAGATGGGAGACAGAATAATGATTCACAGAGGTAAAAGAGACAGACAGATAGACATAAAGGCATAAAAAAGGTAAGATGAGTACTGTGAAAGGGGTCGAATATGAAAAATAGTCGGGCCATAGAAATTTGAAGTCAGAAGTCAACTGCCGATCAATAGACTTTTTTGCCGTATAAGTATACGTTGCCCAAGGTGCACCACGTGGAGGTAAGTCTATTAATCGAAGTAAAACAATGAAATTTTATAATCTAGTAACGGATCATTCTTGAAGAGTTCAATAAAGGTCACGAAAAATATATCCATGATTTTACCGTATTTAATTAACAAGTGGACTTCGATAAGGTAAAATACATTTTTATAGAAATTTGAGTTGGTAAATG